AAATCAAACTATCATGCTGCATGCCTTAAACTTATACAGTGATATATGTCAGTTATTTTTCAATAAAACTGGGGTGGGGGCAGGAGGGAAATCATCATTATATTTGTAAGACAGATTGCCTTGCCCATGAAACATGAATGACAATGAGGCTTCTCAATCTTTAGGAAATCTACTTTCAACAGAATCCATACTTTGGGGAAGCTTAAATTAATAAGTAAATGAAAAACCTAAACATGTTGCTCATGTTTGTATCATGGAAGCCAAACACCAAGCTACCACTATAGTTAGGGTTAACCATTCATCCACTTCTTTGTTCATCTAGTAAATATTTGCTGCTGCTGTAGAGAGTTGTGGTTAAGAGCTCAGGCTGGAGAGCAATAAAAAATCTGGATTCAAATCCTGGCTCTGCCACTCACTAGTTGTGTGATCTTGGGAAGTCTACTTGGTCTGTTTCCTTATCTGAAAATAAGGTTGGCATAGGATTAAATGAGAGACAAGGTGCATCAAGCCCTTTGCCTGGTACATAGAAAGTGTTCAGTAAGTGTCAATTATTGGCATCCAGTCCCTCCAGGATTACAACATGAGAAAACATGATGGGCCCCAACTTCACTCTCACTGAATGTTTTTCCCCAACTAGGATGTAAGTTCTATGAGAACAGGGGGTTGGTGTTTTGTTCACTGTTTTGGGCCCCATCTTTTGGTACCTGGAACATATTAGGTACTCAGTAAATATATTTTTTTAATGTTTATTTATTTGAGAGGGAAAAAAAAGAGAAAGAGAGAGAGAGAGAGGGAGACACAGAATCTGAAGCAGGCTCCAGGCTCCAAGCTATCAGCGGGGAGCCCGATGCAGGGCTCGAACCCATGAACCGTGAGATCATGACCTGAGCTGAAGTCAGATGCCTAACCAAATGAGCCACCCGGGCACCCCCTCATTAAATATTTTTTAAATGAATGAATGTGTATATGTATGTCATGGAGTTTACTAGTTAAATGTCTGGAAAATGACCCAATGTATACCTACCACCACCATGTCAAACTCGTCAAACTTCAAAGGAAGGAGCAAGTCATTATTATTGCTTTTATAAATGGAGATAAGAAGAAAGGAAATAGATAATAGATAAAAATGGAGCTCCTACATGCAGAAAAATGAACCTGGACCACTTTCTTACACCATATACAAAAGTAAACTTAAAATGGATGAAAGACCTAAACATAAGACAGCAAGCCATCAAAATTCTAAAGAAGAAAGGGAGTAAAAACCTCTTTGACTTTGGCTGCAGCAACTTCTTACTCAACAGGTCTCCAGAGGCAAGGGAAACAAAAGCAAAAATGAACTACTGGGACCTCATCAAAACAAAAAGCTTCTGCACAGCAAAAGAAACAATCAGCAAAACTAAAAGGCAACCGATGGAATGGGAGAAGATATTTGCAAATGACATAACAGATAAAGGGTTAGGATCCAAAATCTATAGAGAACTTATCAAACTCAACACCCAAAAAACAAATAATCCAGTGAAGAAATGGGCAAAAGACATGAATAGACACTTCTCCAAAGAAGATATCCAGATGCCAACCAACACATGAAAAAATGCTCAACGTCACTCATCATCAGGGAAATACAAATCAAAACCACAATGAGATACCACCTGACACCTGTCAGAATGGCTAACATTAACAACTCAGGCAACAACAGATGTTGGTGAGGATGCGGAGAAAGAAGATCTCTTTTGCACGGCTGGTTGGAATACAAACTGGTGCAGCCACTCTGGAAAACAGTATGGAGGTTCCTCAAAAAATTAAAAATAGAACTACCCTATGACCCAGCAATTGCACTAGTAGGTATTTATCCAAGGGATACAGGTGTGCTGTTTCGAAGGGGCACATGCACCCCAATGTTTATAGCAGCACTGTCAACAATAGCCAAAGTATGGAAAGAGCCCAAATGTCCATCCACTGATGGAGAAAGAAGATGTGGTATATGTATACAATGGAGTATTACTTGGCAATCAAAAAGAATTAAATCTTGACATTTGCAATAACGTGGATGGAACTAGAGGGTATTATGCTAAATGAAATTAGTCAGAGAAAGACAAATATCATATGACTTCACTTATATGAAGAATTTAAGATGCAATACAGGTGAACATAAGGGAAGGGAAACAAAAATAATATAAAAAGAGGGAGGGGGACAAAACATAAGAGACTCTTAAATATAGAGAACAGAGGGTTGCTGGGAGGGTTGTGGGAGGGGGGATGGGCTAAATGGGTAAGGGGTATTAAGGAATCTACTCCTGAAATCATTGTTGCACCACATGCTAACTAACTTAGGTGTAAATTAAAAGAGAAATTATTTTTAAAAATGGAGGTCCTAGGTAATGACTTATGGCTAGTGTAATACTAAGGTTAGTTATATTGGATTGGAACCCATTCTGGCTCCTGAGCTGGCACTCAAAAAGGAAAACCAACAACAAACCACTTCTATCTATCTACCCATGGGCCCAACCTCTATACCTCATCTGCAGATATTCCTATAATCTGCAGGAATATGCCAGATTGCACCCTTCTCAAGTACAGAACCCCTTGACTATGCCTTCTTTACTAGCCTAACCCAGGTCTTCATTCCTTTAACCGTGTCCTTTGTATATTTTCATTACGCAGAACATCTAAGTATGGTGGAGAGGCATGTTAACAGGTTCCCATTCACTCATTCATTCAACAAACCTCTTTTGCACACTGTCTTTGAGCTGGTGTAGTGTGGTGGGTACTGAGGGCTCCAAGATGCCCTGAGGGAGTTCCAAACCTGGCTGGGGAGACAGACAAATTAACAAGTGATTGTAATGCAGTGTGTAGGTGTTAGAAGGTAGAGTGGTAGGACAGTGGAAGCAATTCTGTTTAGATAGAAGTCAGAGGTCCTTTGAAAGACGCTTGACATCATAAAGAATGAGTGACAGTTCACCAGGCAGATGGGGGGTGGGAAAGACATTTCACGTTGAGGGACCACAACATGCAAAATGAATGTCCAAATCAATGAGTTCCCAGTGTTGTTTCAGCCCAAACCTTCTGTCTTCTGCATGCCTGGGACCCCTGCCTGAACTTCTCTTGCCCTGGTTCTGTAAATCATGATCTGACAGGCTGCAGGGTCCTCAGGTCAAGGTAATGGGTCACTAGCCAGCTGGTGCCTCTGAGGAGTGGACCAGAGTCTGAGAATCAAATATGTGGGCCCCACATCTCAGATGAGCAGAGGTAAGGCGTGGGGTAAGGCATGTGATGTTTACGTTCAGAAACTGCAAAGCCACTAGCCTTGCAAAGTGTCATTATGTCCGCAGGTGGAGGGTAATTTTCTTGTTACTCAAGGACTCTTGATCGGGTGCAAATTGGTGTCTGGGGAATTGCTTTATGACCCAGAGCCAGGCAGCGATAGATAGGAGATGTGGTTTGCTGGGCAGAAGTTTACAAGGCAGGAAATTGCTTCACTGGGTACAACCATTCATAAGAAACACCTCTGGGAAAAGGGAGACTGGGCTCCTGGCAGGTCTGCCCCTGGCCATTTGTTTACATCAGCAACAACCCATGTTCCTGGTTACACAATGTGGCAGCGTCACTTTGAGTGGGGGATCTTTGCCCCATGGAAGAATAAACACATTCCTTACTCGCAGTGGAATTAGCAGACCTCACAGGCTTTTCAGTGACTCTCCTGGAGGCCTTAATGTCATAGGAAGGTGACTCTAAACATGATTAGCTATACAACCAAACTTAGTCCAAATTTGGTTGAATTCCCCTTTAAATGGCAATGCATGTTTAGATGAAGATACCCCAAAGGTGAAGGGTGGAAAAGTGTGACAATCTTGTATCAGTCAGTAGCCAAAGCCACACAAGGTTTCTTAGAAACAATTCAGTCACTGGTGTAGGGGTCATTGGTCAATCTTTGGGGAGGAAAGGACAGGGCTGTGGGTTGTTTGGGTATATTTCAAAGCCCATATTTTCATTGTCCCACCAACTCTTAGCTGAGTTCTAGAGTCCAGGGTTTTTCTGCATTAGAGCCATCAGATCTGCACATGTCATGGGGAGGAAAGATAAGGGGCAGTGGCCAGTGTCTCCAGAACAATGGTGGGGGGGGGGTCTGTATGGCAAGTTACTGGAGGCCTCCAACCCAGCACTGCTCATTAGAGGCAAGAATCATGGGGCACCTGGGTGGCTCAGTCAGTTGAGTGTCTGACTCTTGATTTCAGCTCAGGTCATGATCTTGTGAGTCATGAGTTCAAGCCTCGCACTAGGCTCTGTGCTGATAGCACGGAGCCTGCTTGGGATTGTCTGTCTCCTCTCTCTCTCACTCTCAAAATACATAAACTTTAAGAAAATGAAGCAAGAGTCACGCCCTGGGCCCTACTCTTCCCCACCGCCTTAGTCACCCCATCTTGGTCCCATCCTGGTCAGGTGAGTTTCAACGGGCTGCTTCGCTTCTCTGAGGCCTCGGGTTCTGTATCTGTGAAATGGGGGACTTAATGTCAATGTGCCACTTAGGGTCACAGCTCTGAAGTGAGAATCCGGTGAGACTCTGAATGTCCTCCTCTCAAGTGTGTTCACACACCATGGTTTGGTGCATTGTCCTAGGGCACTTGGGCATGTGAGGGGACATGGATGGAGATTTTGTTTTATGTTTCTTACCTTTCTAAGAGGAGCTTCAGATGGTAAACCCGCCATTACCTCTGACTTAGTCCAGAACCTGTTATTTGTGTACCTATGCTTTTGGACAGCACATTCCAGAGCAGGAGCAGTCAAAGGCAGAAGGACCTGGGCCTGCCCCATCTGTGTTTCTTTCATTTACTTCCTTGGAGATTATTCATGTAAATCTGTTTCCCATTTGCAAGTTCTTTTTTTTTTTTTTTTGGTAGTTTTATGGTTTTATTAACACAAATATTACATGCACATAAGCTGTCTGTCTCTTCAATTTCTTTGCTGCGCAGGCTGGCGTTGGGATTGGTGGCTCTGATGGCCAGCTAGGCTGCTCTTTCTACAGTAGCTTTGTGGTTCTTGGAGGAGATACTGTGAGCAATCTCTGTACAGTAAGATTTGTTACACATCAGCAGCACTTCAGCCTCCTTGACATTGTGAACTAGGAACTTCTGGAAGCCACTGGACAGCCTGTGCTTTGTTTTTTTATTGGTCCTGTAACCAGTGTTGGGCATTAAGATCTGACCCTTGAATCTTCTGCATACCATGTTGTCAATGCCTCTGGGTTTCCACCGGTTGCACTGAATTTTGACATATCTGTCTGAAAGGCACCAGATGAACTTCTTGGCCCTCTGTTGCACAATCTTGGACTTCACCAGAGGTCTGAGAGTGGCCATGATGCCAAGTAGGAGCTGGCTGCCACCTCCGCAGGTAGCCGAGGAAGAGAGGAGAAAGTGGCATGTGAGGGCTTTGCATTTGCAAGTTCTACAGGGGCCAGACCATGTCCTTCTTGGTCACCATTATACCTCCAGTACCTCACAGGGTGCCTGGTGCATAGTAGGTTCTCTATAAAGACATGTTGAGTGGATAAAAGTTCATCAATGCATGGATGAATAAACGGGTTGCATTTTTTTTTTAATTTAAAAACCATTGGTATACTGAATCCACAACAAACCTACGATGGACTTCGGATCGCCCAGTTTCTACCTCATCAGATAAGCAGGCAGCCTGGATTCCTAGTTTCCTTGTATAGATGGAGCAGCTGTGTCAGGGAAAGCAAGGTGGGGCATAGTGCTAAAGCCCACCAAGGGAGTCCCAAGGATAGTCATTAGCCCTTTGGGTAATTAGTTCCTTAAGTATCCATGTTACTAGTTGTTTTCCAGCCACCTCAGGATCTCATGCTTCTGTTGCCTGGCCCTGCCCATTCCCTGTGAAGGAGACTGCAAAAAGGTTTAGAGCCACTGTCCCTAGACATTTGGGGAATAGTGTTACAGGCACTCTATCTCCAAATCCTGCTAGAGGAACCAGGACGAACCCAGAGGAGAAAGGATGATCCTATGGGTCAGTCTGGAGGAGTGTGTGGCCAGCACAGCATAGGACAAACCCAGAGGAGTGTTTTGGTATCAAGGGTGTGGCAATGCAAGCATGTTAGAGACTCGCTTCAGGATGGCACCCCTGAATGTGGTGCCTGTGTATGGGTCTGATGTCCTAAAAAGCATGCTTCTCACCCCCAGGGTACAGGGCAGTGGGTCAGGGAGTACAAGAACCTGCAGTAAAAATAGTTCATTTTCCCAGAGCATTGATTTTATTCAGAGATAAGTAAATTGTTTGAGTTTATTTGTTTAAATTCAAGTTAGTTAACATACAGTGTAGTGTTGGTTTCAGGAGTAGAACTCAGTGATTCATCACTTACATACAATACCCAGCGTTCCTCCCAACAGGTGCCCCCCTTAGTGCTCATCACCCATTTAGCCCATCCCCCCCCCACCTCCCCTCCAGCAACCCTCAGAACCCTTTGTTCTCTGTATTTAAGAGTCTCTTATGGTTGTCTGCCTCTCTATTTTTATCTTATTTTTCCTTTCCTTCCCCTATGTTCATCTGCTTTGTTTCTTAAATTCCACGGATGAGTGAAATCATATGATAGTTGTCTTTCTCTGACTTATTTCCTTTAGCATAATACACTCTAGTTCCAACCACATTGTTGAAAATGGCAAGATTTCATTCTTTTTGATGGCTGAGTGAATATTCCAGTGTGTGTGTGTGTGTGTGTGTGTGTGTGTGTGTGTGTGTGTATCACATCTTCTTTGTCCATTCATCAATTGATGGACATCTGGGCTGTTTCCATACTATGGCTATCATTGATAATACTGCTTATAAACATTGGGGTGCCTGGGCCCATTCAAATCGGTATTTTCATATCCTTCAAGTAAATACTTAGTAGTGCAATTGCTGGGTCATAGGGTAGTTCTATTTTTAATTTTTTGAGGAACCTCCACACTGTTTTCCAGAGCAGCTGCACCAGTTTGCATTCACACCAATAATGCAAAAGTGTTCCCTTTTCTCTGCATCCTTGCCAACACTTGTTGTTTCCTGACTTGTTCATTTTAGCCATTCTGACAGGTGTGAGGTGGTACAGAGATAAGTAATTTTAACTGCATTTTTATATAAAAGCAAATGCATGAACATGATAGAAAATACAAAATTTACACACATTTTTAAGATAAAATACGGGGCTTCAGAGAAATCTCCCATTTGCAGTGATCTAAAACCACAGGCCCCTTGAGAAACACAAATTCCATCTTCTCTGGCATTAATGGTACTTCAGAAGAAAAGTTTCAGAAGCACTGGCCTGAAAGAGCCATGCAGAAAATACCACCCATTGACAGTGTCCCCACCTTCCATCCATGATGCTAGACCCTTACTCCATGCAGGGAAGGTCCCCTTGATGAGACAAAGGCATCGGTACAGCAACAGCCTCTCACTTCATCTGGGCTGACCCTTGGATCCCAAGAGATCAACTTGCTGTCCTTCTTCTCCCGGGTTGTCTGAGACATAAGTTTGAGAGGAGAGGAGTTACATTCCTTTTGTCATTTGCTGTATTTCCCGTGGCTAGTACAGCGCTCAGCACAACGAAGCACTCAGTTAAGGTGGGTTAGGATGAACTCAACTCCAGACACCTGCACCTCCTCCTTCCTTCCTCCTGAGGGCAGTGGCAGCTCTGGTCTCGGATCCCTAGGGAGCCCAAAGCAAACAGCACAGGCCCAGCTAACAGCAAGTGCAGCTCTAGCTGGGACGTGGTGAGGAGGGGTGGGGGAGGGGGGGGCAACTTACACTTCCTTTGTTCCCAGGCTAACAGCTTAAGAAATTCTTTCCAGAGACACTAGTTTTTTACTTTTATTCACATTTTTGAGCCGAGGATGCTGAGATGACAAAGGAAAAAGGCTAGACAGGCAGATAGTGAGTTAGCAGCTCTGCTCTGAGTATGCAGAGATCCATAGTGAATGGGATCTGAGTCTGGGGTTACCTGCAGTAAGTTTACTCTTTGGCAAACTATGGTTGCCCAAGCAGATTCCCTGGGGGCCCCCAGCTCTAGCTCCTTCCTGAGACCTCCTGCCTAGTGAAGCTCCTCTGGGTCTCCCTGGCAGAAGTCCCCCCGGAAAGCGGGAATGGTGTCTAAACAATCTTTGTGCCCCTTACTGCTTAGTGGAGCCTCTGCACATAAGACACCCCCAATAAATATTTACTAGTGATGAGAACGATGGCAACTTACCAAATAGTTATGAGTCATTTAGCGAAGTTGTATTCTGTGCAGTCTGCTGGGCCTAGAGTTTCAATGACAAATAAAAACAATCTCTTCCCTCAAGGGGCTCTTGGCTCAGCAGGGAAAGCTGCCTTCTCAGACAGTATGAGTGCTGCCTGCTCTCTAGCCAGTGGACCCAGGAGCTAACGTGAAAACTTCTAAAGCCTCTGAGGTGGGCTTGGCCTCCCACAGCCAAAGTCATGGGGGGCCAAAGGGAGGATGGCGTTAAAGGGGACCTTTCACAATCACAGGAATGCCCAGAGTGGGTGGGCTGGAGGGTGACCTTCCCATCACCCCGTAGGAAAGTGAGGCTAACACCTGTTGAGACAGGTAACTCCCATTTGCCCATTGTCCTGTGTTTGCAGAGGAGAAGCAGAGAACTCTGGGGAGGAAGGGGATGGGTCACAAGCAGGTGAGCCTGCTTTGGCTGGCACCAAGGCATCAGCACTGAGGTAGGGGGGCCATCCCAGGAGGATGTATAACTCCAGCTTTCCCGGTCTTACCCCAAACAAGCTGTTTCTCAAGCACAACATTGGGGGGAGAGGGAGGGGAGCAGGTAGGTGGGGACAGACTGGAGAGGGGCACTGGCCGGAGGTAGGAATCTAGCACAAGTGTGCACATTAGGTTGTAGAGATATAAGAGTTCAGGAGGGAGGGAGAATGGGAGGAGGGGAGAAAGAGGGAGAGGGAAGCTAATATTGTATGGGATATTGAGTTGATTAATAATAATGCTTGATCTCTTGTATCATTCCCTGTGGCCCAGGGCCTGAAAGGTCTTAGCCGTGCTTTGGAATGCAGTGAAATCCTGAGGCAAGCCCAGAGAGCCAGCCCAGTGGAAACACTGTCTTACCCAAGTGTCTACTCTCTAGAAGTTTCTCCCCCATCCCCAGAGTTCCTCACCCAGTGCATTTCATTGCTTGGGGGAAGGGGCCAGTGGGCAGTGTCTCTGGTCCCAACTATAGCTTCTGAGTCAGGAGCATAGCAGAGGAAGAGCAAACTATCCACTGGCGCCGCTTTTTTGGTGGAAGGGAGATGGGGAAGAGGAGACTCTAAGCGGGTGGGGCAGGCCCATGGCCGTGAAGCATCAGTGCTGCCTTTAGATGACTCTTTCTCCCTTCAGGTCTTTCCCTGCCATTCATTCTTACCTGATGCCACTTGAATAAAAACCTCGCCCAGGGGAAGCAGCACACTGCAATTCGCCCTGGACCACACCCCAGTAGACCACCTGGAGGAGAGGAGACTAGGTATTTCCTTCTAGGTGGGAGGCCTCCTGTGGACTCTGGCCCCAGTCTGCATTCTGCTCCTGGGTGAGACTGCAGGCTCAGCAGGACTTGAAAATATCCCCCCCCCCGAGGGCCCCTGGAGCATGCCTCCTTCCTCCCGCTTCCCCCAACACATCAAATACAGCAGACCTGGGTGGGAGGGTGGAGTTAACAAACACAGCCAGGCTTGGGGGAGGCTTGCAGGCCTCTCCTTCACACTCCCAACTCCAGCCAGAGGAAATCTTGCCCCCGCCCCTCCCGGGACTTCAAAGCCAGCTGTTTGTTTGCCTGGCTACAGAGCAGCAACAATGCTTTCCCTTTTGACCTAAGAAAGCGTCCCTCCATGTTGCAAGAAGACTACTGGCCAGGGGGAGCAGCCTAGAGCACAGGACCCTGCTAACAGGGCTGTGAGGTGGGCATTCCTGTCAGCCTGCCCTGCCAGTATCAGACCAGAGAATGTGTTGAGAAGGCCTGATAGGAACTGTGTCCCCAGACCCCTGGATACACCTCTGGAAAGACTGCCCCAGCCAGGACTCCATTCAGAGAGGGCAGGTTCCAACCCATCACAGGATGGTGTAACTGGCCACGAGAATGTACCGGGGAATGGAGACCACAACCCCATGTACTACCTGCTCCCTTGAAGGCTACCCTTGGTTCCAGGAACTGCTCACCACAAAAATGGTTGTATGGTGTGTGTGCTTGTCCATGTTAGGTGTATGTGTGTCCATGGGCATATGTGTGTACAGGAATGTGCATATCCCAGTGATCCCAGACACCAGCATACAGTTCTCGAGGAACCATGCCCTTGACTTACATTCTGAAAACAAACTTTCATG